CCTCTTTCCTTTCTTTCCTCTCTTCCTCCCTCTATTGCCCTTCTGCTTTCCAAATGTTCCTTCTGTTTTTAAGATGGAAATTGATACCCCAGTCTCCTGACACTCAGTCTTCCACCTTGTTTGTGTCTTGGGTCACCCCATTCATAGCTAGAAGTCATTCACTTGACCTCAGTCCAACACATGGTACTGGGCATGAAGTCTCTTTGCTTCTAATCTTCTTGACCTGGATTCCCAGGTCTGGCACTAGGCTGCTTTTATAGATCTTGTTCTATGTGCATGTTGTCACCTTTATCTGGGTGACCTCTGGTTACCTCTGTTCAGTTAGAACTCCATCCTTTCTGGTTCCTTCTATGCCTTGTTTCTAATAAAGGCTGCTTGCCTGTCTGGAATCCAGGATTGGTGATTCCAAGACTCTCTATAATAACTTTACATTCCTTAATAGGGCAAATTCCTTAACTTAATGTTTTTAAGGGAGGTAATAGGTTGGCACATACAAACTCTGAACTGTTTCCTACTAAAATAATGGCTAAGATAGTAAAATCAAAAACTGATGAAGAATTGACAATAAAATTAAGTGGCAAGATATGTCAGAGAAAACAATGAAGGAAACAGAGAAACAATGAAGTAAGTGTCTGATAGAAATGAAGACATAGTTAACACTCAAATTCCCAGTAGCTGCTCATAAGGAATTGTTTCTAGATAATTCAATAATAGTAGCTGAATCTTGGAGAAGGCTGTTCAGGCAAATGAAGAGTCTACTGTCTAATGTTGAAAGGGCCTTAATATCCTGGAATGTGTAGATTCTTGAAACGCATTAGTTGAAGCTCCTTCTTTAAGAGAAACTTAAAAGAAAAAAAGCCCAAATTGAAGCGGGGGGTAGGGATCATAGGAGCAAAGGAAATGTAAGCTTCAGATAGCAAGAAGAGAGGTAAACAGAGCCAGGATATGTATAAATAGGGGCTTTCTTCTTAACTCTTCAAAAACCTACAAGAAATGAAATTCCAGACTTGTAAAGTTAGAAATGGTACCTCAATAAATACTCCCACTTCAAATATCAGGAAAATGTTTTTTATATAAAAGAAAAAGGAACCAAAAAAATGAAAGAAAAGAAGAAAGAGTACAACTGGAGAGTGCTAATGAGCATGGATAGTAAGGGGTGCAGTAACCCTGCAAATGATGCAAGCACACCAGTGCTTTAAGATCATAAGTCAGAGAAAAAATGCAGCCTGATTCTTTTAAAGATGCTAAAACAAATGCTGTAAATACTAGGATGTAGAAGATAACAATATAAATCAAACTTAGGAAATCTCTGAAATTAGCTCTTGAAGGCAAGAGTTAGAAATTAAAGAATAAATAATTCCAGAAATGACCAGTAAACTTCTGAGAACATGTGATCAGTAATCTTAAGAGAAAATGTTGTATAAATTTTAGAAGAAAAAGAGAAGGAATTTTTTTAAGTAAAGAAGAGATTTTAAATAATATTGTTTGATCAAAATGACATACACAGAAAACAAACAACAAGATCCAAAATAATATTTCCTAAACAGGAAACCCAAATAATGAAACAAAATGAACATTAATGATTATAATTTAAGTAAACTTTTCTGAAAATAAAATTGGTACTACATGATGAAAAGGAGCACTACATACCTGAAGGAGTAATCCATATAAATAACAGCAAGTTATATTGGCAAATATATTAGAGTTTAAATAAAAGGAAAACAAAGTTGCTGGTCGTAGTGGCACACACCTGTAATCCCAGCCTCTCAGGAAGCTGAGGCAGGAGGATTTAAATTCAAAAGCCAGCCTCAGCAAAAGCGAGGCGCTAAGCAATTCAGTGAGACCCTGTCTCTAAAGAAAATTCAAAATTGGGCTGGAGATGTAGTTCAGTGGTGAGTGCCCCTGAGTTCAATCCCCGGCACCCACCCACCCCACCTCCCCCCAAAAAGAAAGCTTGTCATCCAGGTAAATAAAAAACTTGTAAAAATAATGGGCAAAAACACCTGATTGTCATCATACCTTCTAAAAGCAGCCCTTTACACTGTAAGTAAATGCACTGACATTGTAAACACACTCAAATAATATATTTTCAGCCAAGGACTTCCCATAAACCAAACTCATTTTCAAGCACAAAGACTACATAGATAGCTATTCACATATAAGGACTCAGAATATTGTTCCCAATAAATGGAAACATCATTTGCTCGGCCCAAACTTTGAATATTTCTCAAGGTCTTTTTTTCTGTCATAGCTCATATCCGATTCAATTGAAAGTCCTACTGGCTCTGCCTTGAAAATATATCCCAGATTTGACCTTTCCACCTCCATTGTTATCCTTCAGTTCTAAGCAACTGTCCTCTCTTGCTTGTATTGCAGCAGTGTGCCCCCTACTTAGTTCCTGCTTCTAGCCTTGTCAACCTGTAATTGTACTCCACACAGCACCTAGAATAAGCTGATATGATATGCTTATGCTCAAAAACTTATGGTTCCTGACATTACTTAGTCTTGGATACCTCCATAGTGTGACACTCACTCACAGTTCCCTGGCCACATTGCTAATGTGTTGTTTCAGTATTCTCCAACTGCATGGAACATGTGTGTATTGTTCCCTTGCCTGGAATGCTCCTCCATAGATGGAAATGTGGCTGCTTTCTCGCTCCATTAAGGTATCTTTTGTAGTATCTTCTCAGGGTTTCCCTTATTGGTTCTCACTGCAAAACAGTACTCCTTCATCACTTTCCCTGCCTGTACTGTGCTTGATAATTTTTGTAAAATTTCTTGATCATCTGACATGTTACAAGTCTTTCTAGTTATGCCTTCATTCCTTGTAAAATATAAGCTTCATGATGAAAGGGATTATGCTTAATTTTTCATTTCTATATCCTTCAACCTCAAATAGTGCTTGGCATAAGGTATAGATTCTCTTGATGTTTCTTGATTGCATTAATGAGTTCATAATAGGTTTTACAGACAAAAAATAAAGTTTTTCTATTGCAGAAAGTAGACTAATAATGGGTTGCTAGTGGGGCAAATTGTTTGGAAGAATGCTTAAGTTCCTTAATTAATTTGTCAAAGAGTAGGATGGCATGTATCTATAATATGTCCCTTGAAAATGCAACTATCAGAGAAGGTACTGGAATGAATATACCTTGAATTTTCTGTCATCTAGCAAAGAGTCAAAAATCCTATAATTGATTCAACTTATAATAATTATAATTATTTACTAGTTATGTATTCAAGTACCATGTGCCAGCTGAGGTACTTTAAGTGAGATTGTATAGCTAACATCTATAGGTAAATTAATCATTTTGTAAAATACTTATCCTCTGAGTATTATGGCACTATTTTATATTTTTTACCATGCTAATTATGAATAATAACAAATTATTGTTTTTAAGAAGTCTGCTTTTTATGAAAAGTTAAAAAGAGTCTGATGTAAGGGATTGAAAAGTAATTCAATTTATGTGCTATGTAAGTTGATTAGACCATGGGTAGCATGCATAGACTTATTACAGCTTTTTTTAGGTACCACCTTCCTCAGTATTGTCTATCTGTAGGTCCTGAGAAGCCTTTTTCCAGTAGGCCAAGCCTCCTCCAGTTTCTAAACCAACCTAAATCGGACTGAGAATAACTTTAAATCCTATACCTCCATGTGGGTTTTGTTTCTTGTTTTGCTTCTTTCCCTGTAATATTACTGCATGTTCTGTCCTTTCTCATCAGTTACTGCTCAGATTCCTTGATGAAGTGCTGTAAATATCAGCCCGTCAGAACAGGGGCTTGGGCCCTCTGTTCAGTTCTTTCTAGCCCTAAGTATAATCTCTGATCTCTACTATTCTGACTTCCTGGTATGGCCTTAGCACACATCATGCCACTTTTCCCAGTACTTGTCCATGGGGTTCTGCACAGGAAAAATGAGTTATACAAGTTTATTTGCTAATATAATAATTTTGTACTATTATCAATTTGTTGATATGAATAAATGTGTACCTCAGGCACAGGTAATTAAATAGAGATATCCAAGTCATTACATTGCATGAGCAGAAAATATGCATATCTGATTATGGATTCTAGACACAAAATTCTCAGAAATAGAGTAGATGGGTATACAGGAATATATACTTGTGGATTTATAATAAGGAAAAAATACAAAACGTCCCATTTAATAGAATTCCTCTGTCCCCTTCTCCTTTTTAATATTAATTTGTACTTGATTTAGCAACTTTAGCATCCTTAAGCTTAATTAATGGCTTTTATAATTACATTTGGCTCAAATATGCATTAACTTCATGCTAATGATGGGACTAATGCAGTGTCTGAGTGTAAACCAAAAACCTCATGTCTGCAGTGGGCAATTTAATCTTGCTTTTGAAGAATTTGTAATGTGAAACTCCATTTAGCTTTGTAACAGCCTTTCTTAGGGTCAAGCACTTTCCATTAAGTTTGGTATTAGGAATAAGAGAAGATGCATGAGTATGTCTCCATCACAAAAATAAACAAGGTAATTAATCCTTATTAATACACAGAAAGGAGCATCTAGTAATGAAGCAATGTAAAAATCATAAGTTTCAGTATTTAACTGATTTGTTTTTATTTTCTTGCATATGGTACTGTGAAAGTTCAAAAATGGACTGTAGTTATTTGGGTGGAATTTTAAAGCTCTCCTAAGTTTTAGATTATATTAAGAAGAATTCCTCATTCATAACATGTAGACATTTCCTTCTTCTCTGACACTATACTATAAAAAGTAGTGCCTCCTGGTTAGATGCTAAGGTCAAAGTCAAAACTGTTCAAATTTACTCAGTGGATGTTTAAAAACTTACATAGGACTAGAAATGGATATTTTAAAAAATAGATATTTTAAAGCAGCATGTTCTTGGAGAAATTTTTTATAAACATGTATCAGGTAACAATATACAATTTAATAGTATTAAAAATCTATTTTGACTTAAGTAACTATTTACCTTGCTTTATCCTCCTTTTTATGCATATGTTCCCTTTAGATAAGAAACGTGGAAACCAATCAATGTTTAGACAACATGGGCCGCAAGGAAAATGAAAAAGTGGGTATATTCAACTGTCATGGCATGGGAGGAAATCAGGTAAGCTTTCATTAATCAGTTTCATGCTTTTTGGGGAAAACGTTGTTAAAATGATGAGTGTAGGCCATAGCTGGAATGCTCATAACACATTTTTACTTTAGCAAATGAATTGGCCTTCAAATCAAGAACAAAATTAGCTTTTTTACTGTCAGAGGTATTGTAATATAAGACAGCAGAATTGAATAAAAAGGACAATACTTTCAATGAGCCAAAGTTAATGAGAATAGACAAATATTTTAGACTCATCTCATTTTATCATGCTGAGCAAACAAGGACTACACTCTATTCTGTTATTAACTGAATATAAAATAATCATTTGGCCACTGCAACAATTTCCTGTGGTAATTATTCTATATTTCTTTGGGTAATTTTCATGTGCCTAAGGGTTTCTAGAAGATTTTGAATTTCAGCAAAAATTTAAAGTGTTTCAATCAACACTAAAAGCTACCTAAAAGTCTAGGACAATATTTTTTGTGTGATAGTCCAATTAATTATTGGTATCTCTTCAGAACGTGTAAAAGGTTCTGTGTTCTCCCTAAGCACTGGGAAGCAGCACTACAGTGAGCACCATCCAGGTCACTTGGCCATGTTTGGGCCTGAGCAACCCTGCTGCCATGGCCTTTTTGAGAGGTAGGATTTGGAATTCCTGGCAATTGTCATAAGGAGTAGAATTGAAGATGGTTGAATTGGAGATGGTTGAGCCTCTGCTTCTTTGTAATTGGTAAAATTTCTTGGTTAGCATGACCTGAGATTGCACAAGTGTCCACACTTGATCCAGCACAGGTGTCTTCATTCTGTAAGGCCACACGTGCTGATTAAATTTTGATACCACAGTTTATGCAGGGCCTCTGTAATTCTGTGGAGAACATTAAAAGTAAGTTTTTCCCTTAAATATAAAGCAATTAATAATTCAAATCCTAATTAGTGTTCTAAAGTTTCAATTCAAGCAAGAAAATATTTAAAATCAAATTTCTAACTTATGGCATTTGGGAAACTGACTTTATGAAAGAAGATGATAGAAGCAGTAATTCAGGCAGGACAATAACAAGGTATTAAAAAATGATCCAGCACAGTGTTATATTGATTCATGATGGATGTGAGCGGCCTCTCAGGCTAAAGACCAATGAAGTTCAGATAAATTCATCTGGAAACTGAAAAAAAAAAAAAAAAGCTTAAATATCAAAGATTAAATGTGTGGGGTTTATCTTGTTACTTAATAACTAGTCTAAGTTGGTCAATTAAGGACATTGGTTGGGTCCTCAACAATTCCATTAAAAAAACAGAAACATTTTATCTTTCCATTTTTCAATCCTCAGAGTGAAGTTTTGTCATTGATTGATCTTAGGAGGGTTGCTGAAACTCCAGAAAACACACGTACATTCAAGACAGGAAGAAGTGGGGAAGGGGAAATACCACAGCCTGTCTGTCCTTTAATTAGGAAAAAATAAAAGCCTTCTGGAGGCTGTACATACTTCCACCTACGTCTTTCTGGACGAAATTAAGTTACTTAGTTAACACCCTTAAATGCAAAAACAGAGAGTCTGTTTGGCCTCACACTCACACATGGCTGCTCCCTTACTTCATTTATCCTGAGCATTGGATGAACATTTAAGAGTGACTGCCACATCTATTTCAATGAATTATGGGGAAAATTTTCAACTAATCATCTGCACCAAAATGGCATACAGAATTCAAAAAAGATATATTACTTGTGATATCTCCCTAATTCTAATGCAGATTAAAAATAGAAGAAGGTATCCCAGGTAAATTATCCACATAGGTTCATTAAGGTTGCAAGGTTAGTGTTCAAAAGGACAAATAGTTAAATATTCATATTTGTCTGGATGATACCCTAATATACACCAGGATTATACGTGTTAAAAGTTGCATGTTGTTTGCAGGGTCTATATCTTACTTGCCTCTTATCCCTAGCACCTACTATAGTCCTTGGGAATTGGTACATACATAATAAATACTAGTCAAGTAATTAAATGAGAGACTACATGAAACAATGGATTTGTACCTTAGTACCATGTAGACATGGCCAAGGAAATTTAGCTGTTATTGTCTTAGTATCCAAAAGTATAGAAAGACATCAAACTCCAGGCTTTATAAAGCAAAATTAAACAATATGCATAAACCCATTTCTAACTACATTCTGATATCTCTGCATTGTTAACTTAAGGATAAGAGAGAAATTAAAACCAGTATTTCTTCATCTTCATAAATAATTATTGATGCATACAACTATATATGAAGAATTTTTGGAGTACTTTTACTATATAACAAATAATAGAAACAACTAAATACCTATTAAGACAAGAATAATTAAATGAATCTTGATGTCCACATAGTATTGAGTACTGTATGCTGCTAACATAACTGAGGAAGGTCTATAGATACTATCATCTAAAATTCAAATGTAGAAAAATATCCAGGGTAAAACTTAATTTAAAGGATCTTACTTTTTGAAAACTGGATGTGAGCATTTTCATTTATGATATTTGTAGTATCCATATACTGACAGGGTGCTCTATAATCTATTAGAAATGAATAGAAATCTGGAATATAGATCACTCTAAAAGAGAGGAAATCTAGAAAGAAGTTAGAATTGGAATAGGAGTTATCACTTTTTACTCCACATTTTCTCTGTACACATATCACCTTCATAATAAAAAAAGGAGGATATTAGACTACTGAGTGAGAATTTAAAAAAAAACCAACATCATCATTTTGTAGTACCACTCTCATCTGATTGAATGTTTTAGGGTAAGTTACTTCATTTTTATTTTACTTTATTTTATTTTATTTACTTGTAGATGGACACCATAACTTTATTTTATTTACTTATTTCTATATGGTTCTTAGGCTCAAACCCAGTGCCTCACATGTTCAAGGCAAGTGCTCCACTGCTGATCCATGGCCCCAGCCCTACTTCAGACTTTTAAGCTTTAATATTTGATTATTTGTAAAATGGATAAAATATTTACCTCAAATTTTTTTCTCAAAAGGCTAGTGAAATCCTTAAAACAATTAACATTATATATGATACATACTGGACTTTAGTATATACTGGTCTATTTACATTAAATGTCCCCTTTATTTACAATATCCATTTATGTTCTCAATTATTTTTATTTCTACCCCTAGAAGTAAAAAAGAAAAAAAAAGAAAAAGGAAAAAGAAAAAACAATGTTGGTTCAGTGGCTAATGCCAAAAGCAAGATAAAAATTTCACTCTTTCTTTAGCATTGTTTAGCTGAAAGCAATGAACTGTTTCTCATATTATTCTAACAAATATATATTTTTAAAAAGCTAAAACCTCACATAAAAGCCTATTATTATGACTTGTGCTTTGATAGAATTCTATATTTCCAGGATAATTAATACTTTGGTACATGTTTAAATTTTTTTTCCTGTTCACTTTTAAAAAGAACAGATTTTATGATTTTATTCTCAGAGTTACCCTTTCTGTTTTCACTGCTATTCTTTCATGCTGCCATGGAAACAGCATCTATTTTTATGGTTATTTAGTTTTGAATTTTTATAAGTAGCCCCCAGCCCATAAAAATATTCAACTTCTTTCTCCTGCTTTTATATGAAAATCGTAACAACTGTTAACATCATTTTTTTTAAACTCACTTTTCTAAAAGAGTGTGCTTTATGTTTGATGATAGTTATTCCTTAAACATTTCTCCTTGCACAGGAGTTTTGGTAGTTCTATTTGTTCTTAAGTCAAGACATCAGAAAGAAACTTGCTTTTAAGTAGTTGTTAGATATATTCTCCTTAAACAGTCAGATATCCAGCAAAATGTCAAAAGGAATCGATGGAAGTTTTTGTCCCAGGAATAAGGTAAAAGCAAGTTTACAGGTGGGAAATGTTATTAAATTTGAAAGGGTCATCTTGAGACAATCTTTGTAAACCTTTAAAAATAAAAGTAATCTATTTTAGAGAATCGTGACAAAATTAGACACTCCATTCCTATCTGTTGCTGTAATGCTTTCCTTTCGTTAGCATGTTGATTATTTAACACTTTTAAAATAATTAAAGCAAAGAGGAATCTGAATAACTTGTGATAAATGTTTACAAGTGAAAGGAAGTGAAAGCAAAATGAAAGAAAAAAGTAAAAGAAGTGGAGACAGACCTCAACAGATCAGTGATGCTTTATTAAGCACCAGAGGGGCACATTTTCAAGAGAGAAAATGACAACTGGTCACAATAGGGGTCTGAGTTTTATAGGGTTCAGTGAGACTGAAGCATAGCAGAATGTGTGGGTTGGGCAGTCAGAGGGAACAGTTGTGAAAGTTGAGAGCCCATTGCTGCTGGGAAATGGTGAAAGTCCAGAGCCCACTGGTTTCCTTCTCTCAGCCCATGGTCCTCCTTTTGCCCTGGGGGTTGTTTCCATATCCTTCATTCCAGGCTCTGAAGAGTGATAATGAATTAGGGGCATTGATACCTCTGTCTAGCTGCTTCCTCCTGAAAAGACTCCTCCTTTTTCAGAGTTCTAAGAGAGAGTACCAAGTTCATGGCAGTTGAAGCTGAAAAGGGGTGTTTGAAGAAGCCTCAGGTCTTCACAGGCAAAAAACTGGTTTCAGAGAATCAGATTGTAAGCACAGGAGTAGAATGGCTTTGACATGTTCTTGGGAGGTAGTTTGAGCTAAATGGGTCACCTTACTAAGAAGCTGTTTCCCTATAAAATTAAGAATACTGAGAAGCCAGGTGCGGTTGCACGCGCCTGTAAGCCCAGTGGCTGAGAGGCTGAGGCAGGAGGATTGCAAGTTCAAAGCCAGCCTCAGCAACTTAGTAAGGTACTTAGCAACTCAGCAAGACCCTGTCTCTAATTAAAAAAAAAAAAAAAATGAGTGGGGCATATGGCTCAGTGGTTAAGCACCCCTGGGTTCAATCCCCAGTAACAAAAAAAAAAAAAAGGATACAGAGAAAAAAGTTATTATGAGAAAGATAAATATTAAGATATTAAGTAGGACATAAGGGAGAATAAT